AACTCTGTTATTCTATTATGTTCTAATGCAGGAAAGAAACAAACATTGGAAATTTGTTGTCAAGGTTAATAATACTAAGCTAAATATACCAATGTCTTACTCCAAGCTTCACAAGTTCCCATTCCTATCGCTTGTATTACTATTTATGGCAGTCATCTTTAAAAAGACCAAGAAAATCTTTTGCTTTGCTCTTTCCTTATGCATGATTTAAGAAAGGTATCAATATATCCACTTATATGCAGCCATGATCAAAGCCAGTTTTTTCCTTAAGAGGAGTTATGCTGCCTGTCTCTCTTGGGGAAAATCTGAGGTTTGAAGAACTATAGAAGAACAATGAACTATGGAGGGCAAATGCTGTGAGTTATATCAAATAACTGTTTGGGAGCAAGATATGCCAGTGGAGGGATATAGAAGGTTGATAAACTCAAATTCTGCAAATACTGGAATAGAGATCAAACTAATTGTCATGTTCGTAGAATATATAGCAGCACAGTATCGCATTACTCTTCTCCATCCGCCCTGTTGATTCCCTTCATGATGAGACAATGTTGGATGAATAGGAATGTCCAATAAGTGGAAGAGGGATATAAATCAGGAGCTGCAATCTGAGATCACATGATAAACTGAGTCCCTGTACTGTAGTGGAAACTGTGGGTTAGAAACAGATGTGCAATTTCCAGAGCAGATGGTAGCCTCTTACATGGAATAAAATGAGTCATCTTGGTAAACAGATACACTATCAATAGAATGGTTGTAAAACCATAACACTTCTGGGAGAACCGTAATAAATTCCAGAGAAAATGTGTCCCATGGTGCAGCAGAAAAAGGAAGCACTAGAACAAACAAGCCATCTTAGCAAAGATAGTCTTGGCCCAATGTCTGGCAGACAAAATTGTTTGGATTAATTTGAAGATGACTAGCAAGTTGTGTTGAGGAAGGAGAAGTGTTATCTTCTCTCGTGATCTGTATGAGTTTGAGATTCTGACTCCAAAAAAGGAGAAAGGATTCTCAGATTGAAGAACCCTAACAATTCTGTATTATATCTATGAATTTCCTGGCTGGTGAAATCAGGTAACACTCAGTTGCATCCATGTAGTACTATCTGCTTCTTGGAGATGGCATTTTCTGCCTTGAATGAGATGGTGGTTATGTCCCTCCTCAATATGTTTTCACTGAACCTGATTATCTTGGATAATTGTAATCCAGTCTCCAATCTTCACTTTCTGAGAAATATTATTGAGAAAATGACCAGGCTGCAGCATCAGAGGACCCTAGAAGATATAGATTATTTAAATCCTTTTCCATATGGTTTCAAATTGAGTCATAGCACTAAGTCATGTTTGTTAAAGACTTCTGAAAACATAGGATGGGGTAGTGCAACTATCCTAGTTCTACTTGATCTCTTGGTAGCTTTCAATACTATTTAGCATAGTATTCTTCTGGGCTGCCTATGGGATTATGAGTGAAGAGTAAGGTTGTCCCAGTTTTCTCTTCCTTTCTCTATGGTCAGATCCAGTTGATATTGGTGGAACAGGGACAGGTTGATCAGAGGTCCTTCTTGTGTGGAACAGCTCAAACTCAATGCCCTCACTTCTTCTGATTAACATCTGCATGATGCCATTGGGTGAGATCATCCATTGATTTAAGATCTGGTCTCATCAGTATGCTGATGATACCTAGGTATGTATCCCAATCTCAGGTAATGTTGTCAAAATCTTGTCCTGGTGGTTGGAGAAGAACTGGCTTAGGCCCAATTCTGACAAGACTTAGTATTTGTGCTCTTTGGAACTCCCCTCTCCTCCCACCAGTTTGGAGAAGTTCCATCCTAGGTTCTGAATGGGACTATAATGCCTTTTTTGCATGATGATGATAATGATGATGATATCCTGTCTGACACTTGGCAATTCTATGGGCCTGATTTCTCCACATCTTCCATTACTTCTTTGAGTTTTTCTATGCTCTGTCTGATGTCAGCTTTGATATTGTGCCTTCTTTGGGATTGGTGCACAATTGAGGGGTTTTCCTGAACTCACAACTCTTTTTCAAGCAAGTGGCAGGTTCAAGTTGCTGTAAAGATAGTAGTCCAAGGTTTGCAAAAAGTACTGTTTAAATGCTGAGGAGAAAACAGTCCCAGTGAAAATTGTGACTAGGTGTTTGTAGCCAATTGTTCTCCATAACTATTGGGACATGCAAGAAAGCAATCAAATACAGTTGCAATAATGTTTGTGGTGATTTATTCTTAGACTGGAGGGATATACCATCAATTGTCTCTACTTGTATAGAAAGACAAATTGTCCTATAATAGCCTTATCAATGAAATTAATATTTGCTCCCCCACAAGCTCAAATGAACTAAGAGCTGCATTTCCGAGGTGAGGGGATGCAAACGGAGATAATAAAATATATTGCTTAGTGTCAGACATTGAAAGACTCTGTAATTGTTGGTGGATGGAGGAACAGTTTCTCAAAATCAAAATATTAAAGCAATTTAGAACCTTACTCATGAAATGACCCAACTTTCCACAGGTGCAATGATACTTTTCCTATTCTTCAATTAATTGTACCTCAATTCTATCAGATGACCATCTCTTACCACAAAATGTTGAGACACTCTTCCAAAGTCTCTGGCATGCCTTATTTCACTAATTCATCTCTTAAATTAACTTTCCTGAACCTGGTTGATGATGACAAAATTCCAGTGGACATTGCTGACATTCAACTGAAAATATGTTATGTACTTCAGCATCCTTCTTGTCCCAATTTATGACTTTCCCAATCACAGTTGCTTTCCCAACCAAAGGCAGCTTTCACCTTCTGCATAAAATCTTGTCAGCGATCTAGCATGATATTGTTTCTTTCAGTGAGTAGAACTGCCCATGTGTCTGCTGTTCTTTTTAAAAGCCTGAAAAATGCCACCTTTCTCTAATCACTAGGGAACTTGCTAACCTCACTGCCACAAACAATTCACACTTGTGTGAAAGTTAGGAATTGGACACAACTTCCCCCAACTTCTCCAGCAGGTTTCCAGAATGGAATTTAATTGAAAGTGCAGTAATCCATAAGCCTTCATGACTGAGATAAATCTTGGCCCAAATACTGCATCACAGTATTCTGTAATTATTTAGCTACTGTATATGCTGCAACAATTATTCCACTCTGCCAACAAGATCAGAAGCTAAGTCCAGAATTCAGAATCCAATGCCTTTAAGATGAAACAGTAAAGTGGTTTCAAGACGGATGTTAAACCTTGCAAGTCTGAAAACTCAGGAAACAAAAATTATTTAGATTTTTGGAAAGATATTTACTGCTAGTAGGATAATGAAACAAAATTTTGGAAGCCCATCCAAGTAATTCCCCTGGTCATCACCAACACACCTATAAGGTAGTGACTTAGAGGAAGCTGAATCATGGTACCCAGATCATAATTCTAAATACAGAAATAGGAAGCTTTGGGGGACTAGGAGTATTTTTGAATGTAGAGATCATATGAGTTGCTACCCTCACAAAATGGTTGCCATGGGAGAACTGCCTCTTCAAAAATAGTGGCAATTAGCATGGATGGTCACAAAAATCACATCACCAGAAGACTCACATGACCAATTCAGTCTGCTTCCTACCATGCCAATGGGATTTTTATGGGGTACAAAGGCATTGATCCAAATAAATATGACGAATGAAGGCAAATATATATGTCTCAGGATAATGTTGCAGGATCCAATCTGGATCCGTCACCGGGACCAGAGGTTTAGTGTTCCGAATTTTCAGACTCGTGCTGGAGCCCATCCTCAGAGAACTTCTCTCACCAGAATACATGCTTTAGGCTATTCTATGCATAGTTTTTATGTGGTGCCTGGTTGTGTGTGTCTTTTTAGTTGTTGATTGAGGTATTGATGGCCAGTTACTAAGTCATTGGCTGTTGTTTCCTTGTGCTGCCAAGTCCTCAGCTCCTAAGTAGCTGATAAGCTAGTGGTAAATCAGCACTCTTGTTGACTGACGCCTGTTTCCCAAGGTTCAATCATTTCCCTGCCTATTTTTGTGCCTGCTCAGCTAACAATTTTAATATCTGCAAAATTGAATGTATGTCCTTGTTCATTGCAATGTCAGGCTACAAATGAATTCAGGTGTAGGACAGATGGGGAGGAAACTAACTACCATATTGCACGTGAATGGCCAGACAAGGAGACTCAAACTCACTGGAAGACCAGTCATTCTGCTCAAACAAAGGTTGTTGTGGGGGTAGAATATCATTCTGAGAACCTGAATGAAAGCTGTAGGTAAAGAGCAAATATATAGTTCAATAAATAAATCAATGAAAATTGATCATTGTTTTTATTATTCAAATTGATTAGGAAAGATGAATTCAGTTTTCTGATTTGTTAACCAGATCCAGGATATCAAAGTCAGAGTCTTTTGACCAATAGGCAAAGAGACTAGTTTTTAGTTTTTATGTTATCATGCGAAGGAGACAGAAAAATGGACAAGAACATTCCTTTCATTAATACATCAACTGCAGAAGTGTGAGCTAATAATGTGATTGAAACTGTGTGATTACTTAAAGAAACCCTATCAGATAAGAACAAAACTTATTTCTGTGCTCTAGAGCATGCATGCATTTGTATTAGAAGAACTGGGGCATTTCTGGATTAAAAATTAGCCAGTGACTAGGAGACGCCCAGTTAGGGGCTCCTTTCATGTCCCGTTAATGTGCCCAATGGAGTGATGCCTATCTATTTACTCGCAGTTACTCACTGCTAGGTCGGCAGGAACTGGAGCAAATAACAGGAGCTCGTCCCATCACACAGCAGGACTCGGGTCTCGAACGTGGACTTACTGATTGTCAACCCAGTGTCTTAACCAGGTGAGCCACCATGCTCTTTGCTCTAGAGCATGAAGAAATGTAAAACTTGACATTGTATATAAACATATATAAAATCTTTTATTTTTAATTCACAGAAAGCCTGAAAACTATTATTTCAGCTAAGGTCAAATATAATCTCTTACCTTCATCATCAGTTCTGCTAAGTCTTTTCTCTAGTTCTGCTATTGTATTGTTCATTTCAAATATGGAAAGTTCTAACATTTCTCTGTATTAAAGAGAAAGCATGTATGGCAATTACAAATCCCAATGGTATATGAAAATGACATATGTGTTTATAATATAAATTCTTTACAAGATATCTGCAGGTTTCTATACTTATAAAAGCACCATCAGGCACTCTCTCAAGACTAAAGTCTATAAATTGTGAGCAGATGTCATAACAAACATATTTCCACCCAGTATTTGTTGAATACAGAGATTCAGTATTAAGTTAGCTAAACAGATGGATGATCTGAGATGGAAAATGACATGGAAAATGACATTTAAAACTCTGCAAGTGACCAAACAAAGGGTTCCAGAGCTTTTTCCATGTAATTGTGTCCTAATATATTGCTCATGTTCTATTATGGTCTTTAAAACACATTTAATAATGAAATGAGAGATAACAATATCTCCATGCCTAGCCAGGACTATTAAGAGCATTTTTAAAAGGCCTTTCATTACTTCTCTTTAATGTTCTGAATCTGATGGGTATCCAAAGCAAAAAAAGGTGAGGACCGCTCATTTATACATCCTCATTATTCTTGTCTGTCAAGTAGAAGGCTCAAAAAAAAGTCACAGGAAATTACCTGTCACAACAGTGATAAAGGGACTTACAGGGATGAATCATCCTCTTCCTCCTCAAGGCTGCAGAAAGGACTTCCAAAATACTAGTATATTCACATCCGTCTTTGATCTGATCTAACTGTATTCCTTCCCATGCCTTGCAGTGGTTGTGAAAACAAAACCTAGCTCTGTCACTGCAAATCTCTCTCTACATGCACTTTCCCTTTGCCAAGGTGCTGCCAGCATAGTATAAGACATTTTAAAGCTTTCTTTGCTCTGGTCTGAATTGTGTCCATCCTATTAGCATCGGACTAGTTATTATGGGAAAGAAAATTGGTCTAGATGAGGCAATAATATCTAATCAAACATAGATCTCATGATATGTTTATTTTTGGCCCAGGTAGCTAGGACTAGTTACTTAGCAGCTAAGGATAGGAGGAAATTAATGTGTCCACACATCACTTACAGCTAAAATCTACAGTGAGCACAGGTGGTGCATAAGTGAAGGACAATTGTTTGTATTTTTTTAAAGCCAATAAAACATTAAACACATTATAGCTGGAATGCTGAGCAGGTTTATTGAAAAACAAGAGTGCCTCAGTCTTTTTTCTTAGTGCAATTTACAGCAGTTGTCCCAGATTCCTGTTTGCCAGTTGCCAGTACTAGGAGGGGGGAAAGTACCCACTGCTGAACTGTAGGCTGATCAGCAGGGCATGAGAAAAAGGGGGAAGATGGTATGCCTCCCTCTGCAACCACAGCTGAAGACCCTTTGTGGGCTCCCTCTATTATTTTAGCATATACTGATTTAATTTTCAAAATATGATGAAAAGATTGTAACCAGCATTGTGACTTATCCATGGCATTTTGCCCCCTCTTCACATGACCTTGTGAAACAGCCTCATGTAGACTGCGGCAGCTTAAGAGCCATACAAAAACTATCAATCTTCCGTTTTAATATGTCCCATAAATTTAATATAAATGTGCAGCTTAAGTCCAGTCGCTAAGATACACCATGCTGTAAATATATTCAGGTAATGCAAGTAAATATATTAAGACAGTCCCAGACTCCAACCTTTTTTTGCTATAAACTCAAGAACAGTTCTTAGCTTACAGGTAAGACTTTGGTAACAGAGATAAAACACGAATCTTTCATAAAGTGGCCTAACTTTAACATTTAAGTATTATTGTAACATATTAAGAATATTGTATTAACTTTTAAAAACGTTATTCTGCAAATATAGTTGCAGCTCTAGGAGAACTCTTCCAGAACATGTCAGTGCATAGGGCGTGGTAATTAAAAAAAATCTCTTCCCATTCGAATAATGCAGTTTCCTCTGGCATCCCTTTGGGTTGGCATCAGCCCCCCTCTCCGCCCCCCGACACACACACACACCCTTTCCGGGTGTTTATGCGTCATCCGCCTCAGACATCCGCAGTGCTGCTGACGATAGGACTCACTTCATTTGCTTCTCTTGAGTCAGCTCCAGCTCCACGCCTCCAAAGTCTAGCTCTTGGCTGTAAGCGCTGCCTTCCCCCATGGCTTCCTACACACACGCAGCTGCCTCCGCGCGTCCTCATCGCCTTGGAGAGCACGCAGGAGAGGCGCGGGGAAGAAAAAGAGACAGCGCCGGTCACGTGGCAGGAATTTTCGAACACTCCCGTTGCCTGCGACGGCACAATGCTGAGCTCCCTCCCTCGCGCTGAAGAAAGAGATAGGGAAGATGGATCTTTGCAGGATCCAATCCGGGTCGGTTCCCGGGACCAGGGGTTTTGTCTTCCGAGTCCGAAAGCTCGGAAGACAAAACCCCTGGTCCCGGGGACCGACTCAGATTGGATCCTGCAACCTTATCCTGAGACACGTATATTCGCCTTCATTCGTCAGGGTTGATCTCTGTTTCTTGGAAAGTGCAGTGCGCGCTACCGTGGTTTGGTATTGCGGTGCTGCGAGGCGTGGGCGCTTCTAGACTAGTGTGTCCATTGCAAGATAATATATCGACGACTTGCTTAGAATTTGCATCTATTGCAGTGGTTTTAAATGGGGAACGACAAAAAGAAAGAAAGCTAAGTTATAAAGCAGCATGGAAAACGGCCTAAAGGAAAGAATGTCTGCAGCTACTACCCTCTGTGCTTCCGCGTTATAACAGTGCAGAAATGTCTTGCAAGGATGTTTGAACCTCTATAGATTGACCCGGACTTTTTTTTTTTTTTTTTGAAACCAGCTAACCTCAGTTAAGTGCTTCTAGTTTATTGGTGGCAACATCCAGATGCTGGCTATCGGAAACTAACCAGGATTGCCTTGCTTTGTATATGGAGGGTGTCTGACCAGATAGCCCACCTCTGTTGGCCATATAAGAAAATTAATAAAACATCCCAGAAGGTGGCAAAGTTACATGGATGTGGTTACCAAGAGTTGAGATCCATTGGGATAATCATAACTATGCAAGCTCAAAATGGGTTTCTTAAGCAGCAGAGGGTTGAGCAGGGGGGGTCCCTTCCAGCTCTATTCTGATTGATTGAAGTTTTGGCTGTAATAAGCCTACATATGTATCTATAGCAGTGCTTCTCAACGTTTGTGTGACGGCGACCGTCACACAAACGTTCTGCGCATGCGCCGGGCCGCACACATGGGGGCGGCCCCCACGCGCGGCGCGCATGCGTGGCGCCGCCCCCATGCGCGACATGCATGCGTGACGGCCCCCCACGTGCGGCGTGCGTGCACGGCACTGCCCCCATGCGCGGCGTGCATGCGCAGCGCGCCCCCATGCGCAGCGCGCGTGCACGGCACCGCGAAAAATAGCGGATCGCCGCCTTTGGCGACCCCCGAAAAATGGGCAATCGACCCCAAATGGGTTGAGAACCGCTGATCTATAGGCACAAACTGATGGAAATATTTGTTTAGCTCTGATAAGTTCAGGAAAGGAAGGTATGAACAGACAGTACAGATCAACAATAGCCATCCACCCTTATAAGAAGATATCCATCATGTTATTTTAAAAATAAAATAAAACAAAAGATAAAAAGGGAGGACTAGGACCTTTTCTGCCATCAGTTTTCTGTTTCTAAAATGGTCTTCTGAACTAAGAAATTCAGTTATATTACAGCAAATTCTTGCCCACCAACCTGGTGTGATGAAAAGCAAAGAAGCCTTGTTTTTTGCAGCTGTCTTGTCAGTGAAGACATCAAGCAAACATAAGAACAATTTCATTATTCATTTGGTATAAATAACATCCACACATCAAATTTCCTTATTTTTGCCAAATGCTAAATGTATAATAATCACTAAAGATCCCTATTTGGCACAAGATGTTTTTCAAACAGAATACCCAAAGAATATTGCTATTTTGCACTTACACTTTTCACATGTTCGTTGCTTTTGCTACATTTTTTAAAACCTGCAAGAACAACTTAACAGGAACCATACTGTCTCTCAACTTATTATCATTGATTTTGTCTATACTCTATACCCTATATTCTTCATTTAGGGATCACAGTGACTAGTGGTCTAAAAAACCTGAGTGACCACTTGCAAATGCAATGTTAATGATAATTAAAAATATGTTTTTGATCAATGTGTGCATTTCTAACCAAATTTCATTTACATGACAACACATTTCAGAGTTAGTAATGTTGACATAGCTGTACAAGAGAAATTTAACTGAATGAAATGGCAGCAACCAGTGATCTTTGTAGTATCTTTTCAGTCATAGGTTCATTTAGCGACTTTCTTCGTGATCTAAATGGAACTTGGTCACTAAACGAGGAGCAGGTATATTTAAATAAAAATGAAGATAACCAAAATATGCATCTTAAGTTTATTTATAATTTTAAATTCGTAAGTCATTTCAAGTGCTTAGCTCCTAAACCAATGGACATGCTATCTTTTTGCTATCATATTTGACCTCCACTATTTAAATTCAATATCAAAATCAGACGTAACCTCTAAAAGTTGGAAATTCTACATTAATAGCAACTGCTTTTTCATATTAAGAAGAAAATGTCAATGTCTAACAGAAAATGAATTTCATTCTCTTACAAGGCAACAAGATATACTTCTGAATAATGCAGACCTCTCAATAAAATAATTTATAATATATGATCTTATAATAAATATAGAATATAAAGCTTTTTCTTCATCCATAAATGGAGCCTTACTTTTTTGAGCAAAAATCTTTTTTCATAGAATTCAGTTATTTCAGCATATTTTGCCAACAAAAGTAATTAAGAATTTTGCCATCTATTCCAATTAAAACTAGGATTTCATAAAGCTGGTTTAAACTAAACTAAATTAAATAACATTAATAGTAAAATATCAGTCTTTCGTTTCTGTAGAATTGGAATTGATTTTGATAGCTTATCAATAATTTGATAGCTTAATCAGTTGTTTATGTAATAAAGTTCAAATATGTACACTACCTAATCAGACAGTATAGTTTCAGTAACTATTGAAATAAGATTCAGGAAAAAATGAAGTAGAAATTTTTAAAACAGTATACATCAAGTTAAGTTCTAATACTCCATTTTACAACTTAAAAAGGAGTTGTTTTTTCTTGTGCAAGTTAAATGCTATTGCAAATTTAGTTTTCACTTAAATTGGTTTTTTGCAATCTGGTGCTCTCCAGATGTGCTAAAGTTTTACCACGTTGGCTAGAAATTGGTTTCACATATGGAAAATGCTGGGCTGGAAGAGGCTGCAATATTGGAGATATGGGAAAGAAATAATTTTTAGAAAAGGTTAATCTTCAAGTCTGATAAATTGAGTCCAAATAGTTTAAGATTATAAAAATACCAAATCTGTTAATTCATTTCATTTAAATATATATTAAGGCTTTTGGTAATTCAGTTGCACAGATTTAGCGTTCATCTTTTTTTTCTCTCTTTTGTAGAGCTTTATTTTCATCCTTTTCGGTAATCTTATAATCATCCAGGATTGTGTTGCCTGTTTCCTTTGCAGTTTTCTTGACCATAGCTTTGATTCCAATATGGTCAATATTAAACGCTGTTACACCAACATTGATGGCAGAACTCACAGCATTATTTGTAGCTTGGCCAGCATCATTCCCATACCTAAAAAGGAAAATGTTAAGACTTAATTTTTGGCTCAGTACAATTAAGGAAAGCTGTTTTTTTTACATATTCCCATATGCCACACATTGTTAATCATTAATTGAAAAATTTACACTTAAGAATGTAGGAATTGGCTTTTCAACTGCATTGAAAAAGAAGAAGCCCAAAGCAGTTCCTTTGCAAAAGATGGGGTGGGGCTTTTTGATGTGCCATTGACCCAGGAGCTTTTTGGTGTATTGCAACTCGGGGGCTGCTTTTGGCCCCTTTTTTACACAACCACACCCAGCCCAGCAACCAGGCCAGTCGTGTCTCATCAGCAGCAAGAGGAAAGTGAAGGTCACCTAGGACAGTGGAGCACATGGCAACAGGGGTCTTGAAGTGCAAGGTGGCAAGGGCAACTGTGGTTGGATGGCTGTAGCTTCCTAGGGTGTGGGAAGTCAACCCACAGTTGTGCAGTTCTGGAGTTGCTTACTGCCCCACAAAGCAGGGTGCATAGCAGAAAGATGGCAGAAATGGAAGGGGGGAGATAGGCAGGTAGGGGTAGTTGGAAGCAATATCTTACCTTACTAAGACTCAGGGCTGGGAGGATCAAGCCTGGAATGGCTTAGTTTTGGGGTGGCTACTCACTTAAGAAACCATGATTTTGTTAATAATGCCAACCTGGATAACAGGATTGCAGTCACTAAGTGGTCCTGCCATGTGACATTTGCTTTATGACCACAATTGTTTTAACAATGGAAACTCCTGCCCCAATTGTGATTGTAAATTAAGGACTACCTATACAACAGAATGTAGGCGATAATAGGTATATTTCAGATATGGGTTTATCGTCCAATTTTTCCTTTGTTCACTTGATTTATTTTAAATATGTATGAGATCTATTTAGAAGATAGCTAAAAATGTTTGTTTCTATGACTACTCTTGTGACTTCGTTAAAGATATATTTAAGATGTAAGTACAGTATATTCTTGTAATCTTTTACTGTTATATTTCATGACAAACATAAAAATTATATGTGTTTTCATTTCCTGGTTGGTCAGGCTGGAACCTATTACCCTGTTTTCCATAGAAATATCATTTAAAATAATGCAAATTCGAACTTCAGCTTTCCTTTCACATGCAGGCAACCTACAAATTACTTTTTCATCACTGTCATAATTGAAACATTGCTAAACAAGGCAGTCACTAAATAAGGACAAATGGTACTACCTTTGACATTTTCACTGATCCCAAATTCCTAAAGAATTTATGCCTCTCATGGAACAGAAACATGTTGAAAAATACTGGATTAACCACACGCTTATCACATCTCCTTCTTCAGGGGCAACTTGTTGAATAATAGTGAAAGATTTCATATTTCAAAGCAGCAACTCTACTCATGAAAATTATGATGCTGTAGTTACTCCTTGTTATTTCACTTGCTTATTCAGTTATTGAATATGTATGTACATGTTCAAACTCTCTTTGATCAACATGCTATAAAAGAACTATGTAGCCTTGTAGCTTTTACTATAATCTCATCTGAATGCAAAGACCAGTGATTCACTATAGCCTGCTGATCTGAGAAATAATAAATGATTGCTAGATTGCTGTTTAGAAGTTTCACTTAATATTTTGCAC